CACACACACACACACACACACACACAGACAAAAAAACCTTATGACTCCACCTTTGCCTTCAACATCGGGCGATGATAACAGGAATTCGGAAGATATGAGAAAAGAAAAGACAAACAAAAAGAAAGAAAGTGAGAAAATGTGAAGTGAGGAAAGAAAGAAAAAGGAAGAAATATTAAAACAAAAAGATAAATTGGGAGTGGGCTGAACAAGTTTTCTTTCCTGCATCTTTTCTCCAATTATGTTTCCCATTTGCTGCTCTTTGTGTCAATTTTTCCTTTCCTCCTTTCCCCCTTCTCTTTTCTCCTTTGTCCTCACCCCTCCCTGCAACGTCTCCATCCTCTGTCTTTACGCTCCTCTTCCTCCTTCCTCTCCCCGTCCTCTTCCAGTCTCTCCTGTTTATGAAGGTAAATTTATAGGTCTACCAGGAGCTGTTAGCTGGAGGTGGCCTCCACTGCTCAAAACCACAACAAGGCTTCACCCTCCATATGGAAAAGAGACRGCAGAGTGGGCATACTGGGCTATTTCCATCAGCCCACATTACACCTGATAACACACACGCTCACCTCCCATTATCTGCTAATGAGCCTCACTGTTTTCTTCCTGCTCTCCCCTCGCGATCCTGCCTCTTGCCCTCACATTTCTCAAACGTGGTTGCCGGCTTTTTGCCTCCTTTTCTTTATTTTATATAGCTCCATCTAGCATTTGTTTTTTATTGGTCTACGAGGAGCCGTTAGCCAGCGGTGGGCTCGTCTGTTTAACCGGCACATGTGTTGTGCTGTTTTTCACGCTCTTGCTGTTAGAAGTCAGCTCAGCCAGTGTGTAGGTATATCATTTATGTGGAGGGTTGTCCTCTGTTGGACTTTACAGAGGCACATCTGCTGATTTTTATGCTGAAAAGAACAAATCTGAATGTGTTCCTGTTATGCAGCACCTTTTTTATTTTAACACCTAGTTTGGATTTTTTCTGATTGGAATGACAAGCATAAAGCTAGTTTGATCTGTGCTAAGACCATAGTGAATTGTTGCCATCATAAAACTATCCCAATYTCTCATCTCCATAGTGGTTTATGCTAATGCTATTTTATGAATTGTTACATCACAGTCAATACTGCATTCAAATTTGTAGAATACTATGTCTATTTGCAAGTTTAAACAGCAGGAAAAGCAACTAGCTTTAGCACTTCCCTCAGAAATATTACTGTTTTTCATGAATAGCCATATATTGTGAAAATGACAACACTGCAAAGGTTTATAAACAGTTTTTTGCATGAACCATCAAGATGTTTTGGAGAATGGAAGGGCTTTAAACAGGATGCAATCCGCTTTTGTTATGTTTCTGCTTGGACTAGCCATTAGCTCATCAATCCAATCTGAACAAACTTTTTTAAASTGAGATTTTCAAATAAACTACAACAGATATTTGTTAATGATCTACCAACAAAATCTAAACTATCCAGGTTAAAGTTATAAAGAAGAACCTGAAATCATAAATTGTCTGCTTTAAACACTTTTAAAGGTCCTGTGTGATCATCAGACCACTTTTTAATTATCAAAATTTATTCTCATGTTTCATAAGAGATCCCGACTAGTTTTAAATATCAACTGAACCATGAAAATATAAYGGTTCAAAACTGCTCAAAATTAAAATACATTTACAGTCATTAATCTGGTTACATTTTAGGATGAACTGTTTGTTGTCATGATGAACATTTCTCTGGTTGCTTGCCTAATGAGTCCGATGTGATTTGTCTTTTTTCCCCCCATTTCTCTTTGGTGTCTTGCACTGCCTTCCACTGCCTAATCATCTCTACATTTYAGGTAAGTTTGCTCTTTTTGTATCACACACTCGTACAAACACACATACATCTGCTTTCAGACACAATCTGAACACACCTGATGGTCAGTTCATGGCAGCAGAAGAGCTGTGAAATGATAAAAAAATGGATGGAGATGCTGGAGATAGAATTAGGGGAGGGGTGTGTTTAGAGGTAAAGTAAGTGGGGTGGTGGTCGGAGTTGACCGGGGTTCACTCTTTTATGAAGTCACTGTGAGAAATGGCCTCGACTTGTGTGGCGGGCTGTTAAAACAGTCCCAGGCCATTCAGCAGAGAGTGGTAACAGAATATTATAGCCAGCCTCTGCTGAATCAAACAAACTCAAAGCTCTTCTAATAAGTACTCTTCGTTTATGTGTTCACAAATGCTGCTCACATGTAAAGTTTGGTTTTCAGTCAGTGTCCTGACATGAMTATCACAGGAAAAATCCAAAACAACAACAATAAAAATAAATAAAAATAAAATTCTTGTCTTGTGACTCTAAAATTCAAATTAATTAATTTTAACACACTTTTTTTCTTCAATTTTCTGCCCCTCTTTCTTCCAGACTCTCAATGTTACACACAAACACACACAGTTCCACACCATGGTTGTAATTCCTCAGGGCAGCAGTGGTCATGTCAGAGGTTTTTTTTTTTTTTTTTTTTTACTGATCGCTTATCGTCTGGTGGGACCAAGGTGACATTTCCTCTTACAACATAAAATTGAAACACACGTGCCTATGTTCCTTTTTAGAAAATGAGGGGTCTATATGCAGGGTTGGCAGCATATTAAATATGTAACAGAAGGCTGGAAATAGTGGTTTGTCATGCACACAAACACACGCACGCACGCACGCACACACGCACACACACACACACACACACACACACACACACACACACAC